AAGGTTTTCTTTATTTGTTTTTTGGTGGTTTGCTGGTAGTAACAGTTCTGTTCCCATTATGAATTTGCTCATATTTTTGAGCAATAATATGTGCATTCATTGAAGATTGAAGTTACGCTTATATCTTCCACGCTATGTGGTGTGTACTAATGTGCATGACGAATTGCTGCATTTCTTACAATTGAACAAATCTTGGCAGGTTTGGTATGATATTGTGCATCTGTAACTATTAGCTAAGACATTGGCATGTTTGAACACAATTGCACAGGGCAAAGAACGTTTGTTTTATTTAGTTAAATGTAATATGTTTGTATAGCAACATTGTTATGTTTTTGAGTGTTTAAAAGTGTTTTAAATGTTTTTGTTTTCAAAGAGTAGCATTCTTTTCAGTACACTGAAGTGTGAATATTTATTAACATCTACGATTTACTCTAATTATATAAAATGTAACAAACCAAATACACCCAGCACCTTATATTTTATGCAATAGTACTCTAGTTTATAATCAGTTCACTTAGTTTTCTGTGTGTATATATGATCAGACTAGAACTACATTTACTTGAATCTTCAGCTGTATCACTTTGTGTCAATATCTGAAGCAAATTACCTCCTACTGAAAGATTTTGAGTGATGAATCTTAGCAGTGCAAGTTCCCTGAGATTTCTGCAATAATTAAAATATTTTGATAATAGTCCCAGATCCTGTACTTAGAAATCAGCACTTTGAAGACAGTTAAATGAATGTGGTCCTTTGCAAAGTTGAGTTTTCAAGGGGGGCGCAGTGGGGAAATTCATTCTGGCTTTTTCTTTTCTTTTTTTTTTTTTTTTGGTCTCTGTTCATCCTTAAACTGTGACCTGATGAATGTCATTAGGCTGTAATCCATTTATTCCATGTGTTGGTGGGAACAGGGAACTAGATATTTCATTTGGACTGAGTGAACCAGAGTCACTCTGAGCTGAGCCCCCGCTGCCATCAAACTGAGATATTTTCTTCTTGATCATTTTTCTTTCTTTCGCTCGGCGATTCTGGAACCAGATTTTCACCTGCGGTGTTATAAAAGATGTCTTATTAATTCAAAGTAGTGGTCAACTTTTTACACTTACAATAGCAATGAAAATACAGCTATGTTAAAAAAAAAAAAAACCAAAACAAAACAAACCCAAAAGCCCTCAAAAAAACCCCACACCACAAAAACGCATAAATCCCAAACAACAACCAAAACGAAAAAAAAGCACAGAACAAACCACTGGATTTGTGCAGTGAAAAATTTTTTAGTTACTCTGTATTCATTTTTTGTGACACAATCAGTAGAAAATTACTTTCTTCTTAGAGCTGGTATAAAGTGAACTTGCTCTGTTATATTTAGGAACATAGTAATCAACTTACTCATTTAGGCTCAGGAGTCCACCTAGTTCATCATCTGAGCTTTGGCAGTGGCGTGTGTCGTACATTAGGAAAATGCAATTATGCAATAATTTTGAAGATTTCTTTATCATCTGTGTTACAGATTAATTCAAACCCACGTACTGAGGGTTCTTTTTCTTCATTTATATTATGAGTGATTTTTGTGTGTACATAATTCTTATGTATTTTTAAAGTTTTGAATTTTTTGTTACTGGACTATATATATGTATTTTGCGGATACATATGTACTACGTCACGTGTATAAATAGGTATATCAGCATTACTTAATGACAGCGAATTTCCCAGGCTAATCATGCATGTGTAAAGACTCCTATCTGTTTGAAATCTGCTTGTAGTTTAAGTATCTATATTTTCTTTCCTTATGTGAAAGTGTGAATGAGTAGAAAACACTGTTTGTGTTTTCCTTATCGTTAATCTTTTGTGTTCCTGCTTTACAGTTTTTGTTATATCCTTTAGGTCTGTTGAATACAATATGATATAGAAAGCCATACTATTGCTTTGTAATAAAAAATATAATTATTATTTGCTAGTTATTTTTTAATTACCTTACTGGTAGTGGCAGTAAGAAGCGTTTAGCTTTGTCTGTTGTGAGTCCTGTAGAAATGCAGATAGATTACCTATTTGGTCTAGATTATACTTGAAGGAAATTTACTAGCCAAAAATTGGATGGCTTTAAGAGCAACAGCTATGTAAAAGCAAACTGCTGATATTATGCGGTATCAGTGGTTACTCCAGACATATCTGTGTTCTAAATCAGCTAACTTGCATAACATTAAGGTGGAGGGTTTGAGTCTTTCATAATTGCAGTTCTCTGAAAATTTTCTAATGCAGCTATATCCTACTGTATAGCAAACTTTAGTCCATCAGTGATAGACTTGTTTTTTGTAGTTACTTTCTGGGGCCACTTACAGTCTGTGGAGTGTAATCTATGTACTATTTGGGTCTGGGATTAAACATCACTGCACTACAATATGTTTAGAAAAATCCAGTGCTTGATGCTAAAATACCATTGCTTATCTATGCATCCTTACACTTCCAGCCTCAATTGGTCCCTCTCTATTCCATGTTCTTGCACAGACTGAATGCAGAAGCAGAGGAGGCCACTGAAAGAGGAGAATATTTTAGAGAACTGAATGTGTATATTCAGAAAGAACAAAAGTTTGTAAAATTCTGAAAGGAAAGATCTCTTGTTTAAATTTACCTGGGGGGCAATAAATCTGGTTGCTAAGGTATGAGATGCCTTATTCAGTATCGCCAAATCTTCCCTTATCCTCCAACTGTAGCAGAACCATTGAAATTCTGTTGTATAAGGAGGGTTGGATTCAATAGTTACTATATTTGCAGACTGTGGAGCTGTGCTTCCTATGTGTGCTCTCCAATGCAGTGATTTTAGGAAATTCTTTATCCTGAATTCCTCTAGTCTTTGTATGAACACAGCTAAGATACCAGAATGCTATCTTTATTCAGGACAGAGCTTAAATATGTACTTGATATGAATGAATGCAGAGCTGCTTTCCAAAGAAGCAATGGATCTAAGTATGCACTTGAGAATTTCCTGAACAGATAGTCTTGGCTATGTATATGTGTATAATAGGCAAAAAATTTTGCACCAAATTTTGTAGACTGAAGCATCCTGTATATAGTGGGTGTGAACTACTACTATAGGTGAAGTACCCATGAACATAATAGCAAAAAGAAATCCTGATTTGAAAGTCAAAGACTGTAAAAACTCCTTAAAATGCGCTGAAATCTAACTGACTGAGGAAGAATGTGGCCTGTGGAAATAGTGCCAATAAATTTGTAACAAAAACCACATAGATATCTTGTTTGATGTGCTGAGTTCTCATTTTCCTGGCTTACAGCTGAAATACTCCAATACTTTGGATTTTTTGCCACCGTTTTGTGTGATTGCAAGAAGAAATAAAATGGTGAATGTCGTGACTATTGAGAACACAGCTAAGAACATTAAGCTGAACTGTTCAAATTCTAGCTGTCTAGCAAGCTGTTACACACATAAGAATAAGTACTTTTTCTAGTAGAAATGAATTCCTAACATTTAGTTACCCATTATTGGAAGTTTCTATCAAATTAGCCTATTTATTAATTTGTATTTGCGTAGTGTATTCTGTGTCCCAGATATACACAGAAACTATCATGGTTGCCTTTGCACTACCTGTGGATACAGAACGTGAGTGTTGCTCGTGTCCCCTGGCAGTAATGGTGTCTGGTGAATGGGTGCGCACGAATGATGGATAGTCTCTGTGTACCTGTCTTTCAGATAGTCCCAGGTTTGCTGCAAGTTCTGACTTTCTCCTTATTGTAATATATCTGTTGCAGTGAAATTCCTTCTCTAATTCTAGTCTCTGATGATCTGTGTAAACAACTCGGTACTTTTCTTTTGTTCTTGTTTTACCTGTTTAAGAAAGAAATATTATTAATATGTTGAATTTGATTTTCTGTAGCATCTTTCTTTCAAACATCTCAAACATTTTACAGACATTAATTAAACTACAGAGTACTTGCATGGGATTGTTTTCTGTGTTACAGAGAGGGAATATGAGGTGCAGGGTGAATGAGTGAGTGAGTATTGGTTATCATAGCTGTCTTTTCCTCTTTACCTCCCTCTCCCTGTAAACGTGCATTTAAATGTAAAACTCTTAAGTGAAAAACACCCTGCAGCATCTTAAAAAATTCATAGCAGTACATAATTGGTGCTGGCTATATTTGATCTCAGAGGGGTTTCCTTTGAGAGCTCATTGAAGTGAATTCCATGTATATGTGGGCATAAATACACAGGATTTCACGAGTGAAGCTCAGTCGCAATTTGTTTAGTTGTATCGTGTCCTAATTCTTTATTTGAGTTTGTAAAGATCGCCTCTCCATCACAGAAAAATGTCCTACTAGAAGTGCTTTCGCTTTCTTGTGTGGCCGCAGGACATGCTTATGATTTCAAGAATAATTTAAATAGTTTATTTTTTCAAAAAGCTCCACTCTTGGAAGACGCTGACTTCCTGTAGAGGTATTACTGGGGGTGCTCTACGTGCTGAGCTTCCCTTTGGAGTTGAAGGCACTTGGCAATTTGTAAGATGAGGCAATAAAATACTTGTAAAAGGATTTCAGTATCATCCTCTCTCTAATGTATATAAGAAGTATTCTTAGGTATATTGGATAAAACTGTTAAGCATTATTTGGTGTTTAGAAGATATCTCTCATTTCATAGAATTTTTAAAACATTTCTTCATGTAATAATAATACAGAGATCACTTTTCAGCTTATTTGTTCTCCTTTGCACTTTCAACAGCTAACTAGATAGTCTTCCTTTTCCTTCTGATCTTCCCAGGTTTTTTTTTGATGTGAGTTTTCTGGGACAAACTGTAGGACAAAGACTCCTTTAAAGTGGTTCCCTAAAATCCATTGAGGTGTTAAGATGAAGCACACGCCACACAAAGGAGCGACAAGGAGATCTTATCAAGAACCCCTTTCACATTCAGAAACACAAGCCAATTGGTTTGGAATTTACAAGCCCTAAACAAATGTCAGACTCTTTCATCTTAGCAGAGAAAAAAGGACAGAAATAGATAAAGGAATATTTTTTCCTGTTGTCTTTAATTTTGGACCAGCGCTCAGGATAGACTGTGATATTTTTGTCTGAAGGCTAGAGCAGCTTAAGACATTTTGAAATACACATAATTAAGGAGGTTTTCCCAAATCCAATGCCACTTTGGCTTCTAGTGTACAAAGTTTTCCTGCCTAAATTTGCAGGACTAAAACAATCACCAAACTAAGTTTACTTTTTTTTCAAGGTACAAATTGTTGGCTTTGAAATATTTGCTCTAAGTGATAGTTACAGTGTTTAACAATAGTATAGATATTCGGGTTGCTTGTAAACTGAAGGCTTAGAAGGTAATCTTTGAAAACAAGTTAAAATTCAACAGGGTTATTCCGGCTTCACTATAATCAGCAAATATAACCATGATTTGAGGGGGTGGAGAAAAGGAGTAGTTTTCCCCATTCCCCTTGGTCATAAAATTCACAGAGCATTTCTTCTGAAGACAATAAAGCTAGGAGAAGGCCTCTTTATTTGCTGTGAAAATCATCACCCTTTCCGGCAATATAACTCCTGAAGAAAAGAGGGAGAAGGAAGAGACAAGACTGCATATCAAAGCAAAGCAAAGTGTTAAAAGGGTCTGTTGCCTCAATATGACAGATAGGCCTCAAAACCTCAGACAATGTAGACTAGTGGAAAATAGATGTCACAACTAGTTCACAAAGAAAAATAAATTAGCGTTAGAGCAGAGGCCTGGCCTTTTTTCCTGCTTTTCTATTTTGCTTTCTGGCTGTGTTTCTGCTGTGATGTAATCTGAATTACTTGTACATCACTGCTTGTTTAAACAAAGACATAAAATGTGTTGACTATAATTAAAAAAATAGAAAAGCTGAGGCTGATCTTGCAAAATATAAAAATTATGTTGTCCTCTTGTTTAGTCCCCTTAAAGTCCATTCTCTTTCTGAGAAGGGTCATTCCCAGATGAAGTTTCGTATAAAGTTTTAAAAGATGTAAAATCTGTTTTCTAGGCCCTTGTTTAGATACCTTCTTTTCTGTAAGTTTCATGCTTTGAAGGCTCACTTGATCTCATAAAATACACATTTTTACACTGTTGATTACACAGGTTTTAGAAATGAATTGGTCTGAAGCTCTGCTTTTACATAACTGAAGTTGATAGGGCATTGTGTCATTGATTTTTAGTAAAAACAGGATCAGAATGTAAGGAGATCTGTAGATCATCTTCTCATTTTGATAGCCTGCCTGGGAAGATATCTTTACCAAGCCCACTTTTGATGTTGGTTTTTTTTTAAATTTCTTATTGCCTCATATGTTTGCAATGTCTGTGTATTTGAAATAATAAAAAAAAAGGTTTGGTTCTGAATATATAATTGTGGTCTTCTAGTAAGAGGATATATAATTTCATATAAAATTTTATCTGTTGAAAAACCGTAGTACTTCCATCTTTGTGATGTTGTTTCATCCTGAGAATTGATTTGGTCAGGTAAATTTTCATTCCACTTTTCCTGCAACTCAATTTTTTTTAATAAAATGCTTAATACGAATATTGAATCAGAATGTAGTGTATTTAATAGAGTCTAAATAGAGGGAAAATCATTCCTATTAGCATCCCTTCCCCCCAAATAATTCCCATTTGTCTTTAGGACAGTATTTCACTAGCCTCCCTCATTTAATGAGATGCGTTTTGATTTCTGTTATTCCATGCTGCTCACATACATTGATGTGAACAGACACCACTAGTGGAGTTTATAAACTAGTTATGTGTATAAATATATTTGTACAGTTTAGGGCTGTAATTCTGAAATTTTAGAGCAGTGAACTGTATTAAGCAGCAATAATATTGAAGAGGAGGAGCCAGTTGCTACTTTGATAGTATGAATAATATTACAGTCATAAGGAAAAACAGAGCGCAAGTCTGTTCCAAAGAGTAGTTATAATGGCATCAAGTAAGTTTTCTGACATTATCTACTAAGCATTGGTAATATGTAGTTGCATGCAGAATATTAGCCTTGCCATTATTTGTTTGAATTTCCTTTCATTTTTCACAACTTCTTAGGTGTCAGTATTAAAATTTTCCATTTTTTATAGTTAACATTATTTTAAAAACACCAATGAAAAGCCAAATCTATTTGGTACTTTTCTTGTTTTGCAAAATACCACATTCATTCTTTACTCTCCCAACCCCCTTTTTTAAGGTGGGTTGATGTCTTGAGCTCAATTCTGTGAAGTCCTGGGCTGTTTTTAACACTTCAAAGGATTAGGCTCTAGGAATGTAGAGCCTCAAGACATGTATCTGTTCACAGGCCCCGATTCACCTGTCCAGTATTGTTCATAAAGTATTTTGTCATGTATGTAAATTCTGTGTAAGTGCTTCTCAGACGAGAGATTAATTTAAGCACATAACTGATTTTCTGAATTGCATATATATTTTATGAAATTAAGCAAGCCTGTGAGAAACCTTTCAGGGTCTTCCATGTGTGTGCCATAAGTGTAAAACTAGGATTTAGATTTTTAAGTCTGATTTATTCTTTGAGAATGCTAACACATTTAAATTTCAGTGACAACATGAGAGAGGCAGGGTTGCCTCATTGACATTCAGTAGTCTCAATTGAATCTGATCCACACTGAAGCCTTGCATCACTTCTACACCTGGAAATCTCCAATGATGTTAATGAAGTTACTGCTGATTTACATGAGTATACGTAAGGGGGGAAAAAGCAGACTACAAATCTGCCTGGCTTTGAAAGACCTTTGTAGAGGCTCCAAGTGGAAGGATGGCATTGTGATATCTTAATGTTCACTGGGCATTTTATACTTAGTAACAGTGGGAAAACACTGTGTGTCTGCTTTATAACTAAGAAACAATTACCTGACTAACTTTACTCTTGAGAAATAACTATTTGAAGGAGGATTCTGTCTCAAGTGGTAGTGCTGATTTTGTGTCTTCTCAGATTGCTCCAATTGTAATTGCTCTTCTTTCTTTAGAACATTTTCTTTGATGCTCTCTAACACACACTTACTACTTTTGACCTTCACAATAGATTTAGCAAACCTCCGTACACCCAATTTACACCTTGGGAATATACACCTAAAGGTTCATCTGGCATGCAGCTCGGGACAAAAACAGGCGCATCAATGGGTGACACTTGCAAGAAAGTGATTTTCAATTGTGTAATTGTGGCAAGCTGCAAAATTCTGGTATGTGAGAAAGATATGTAAAAACAATTTGAAACAAAATGAAAAGGAAGCTTAACTGATGAGATATGTGGTCTGCAAACAAAATAAAATCATTTGAATTGGATTACTTCTCTAGGAATATTTCTTCTCGCTTAATAAATCTAGATAGAAAAATAAGAGACAGGAACAACAGCAGAAAACTGCATAACCACAAGAGTTGGATCAGAGCGCGTAATTTTCTTTAAAAGTGTTGAAAAGTCTGTAAAGATTTAAAAAGGTAAACCTGATTTTATATTGATATTTACCTTGAAGCACAAACTTTTACCTGTAAGTGTTAAATGTCGCTGCATTCATTATTCCATAACATTCTCAAGAGTATCATATTTTTCATCCAAAATGCTTTACAAAATGTTAGAACAAAAATTCCTGGGTTTGAGTCAGATGTAGCCGTATCTAAACACAACAGCCATTCCACTATAGTAACCATATAAAGTCTTTATGGGATGAAAGTGAAACTAGTGCAAATTTAGTTAAAACTGCATTAAGCAGCAGTAGGTTAAATAAATGTCATAAATGACCCACCAACCTATGTGCTTCAAGTAAAGTTAATTATTTATAAGATTAGTGATGGCAGAAGATGCTTTCTCACGTTGAAAGTTGAATATACACTTACCAGTAGTGTTAGCTTGCACCGTTTTCCTCATCCATTCGTAAGAGCTGTGCCTTTGGCTGTTGGGAGAGATTTGCTGTGTATTAATTGTATCTACAGGAGGTAACCCCCCAGATCCAGCAGGATGGAGGGAGCTGTAATCAGCAGAACTGTAGGAGACCTGTCCAGGAGACGAGCCATTGATCTGTGCAGCAGCAACCGTGCTGGAAGGTCCTGGGCCGTAAGCGTTCCAGTCCTCCCTCTGTGGGCCGTAGTGAGATCCCCAGGTTCCCGCAGGCTGTCCATGGGTGTCCAGAGTTGGCACATGAGGATATCCCATGTACTCTGAATAGGGTGGAGTAGACACAAAGTTTTGCACTGGCAGGTTGTTGTTACCCCTTGCAGATCCTGGATACATGCTGGTTTCTTTATCCAAGAGAGAGCTCACATACATGATTGTCACAGGTTGTAAATACGTTGTCACAACATCTTGTTCTTCCCTATTTTCTTTTGCTGCTTAAAAATAATTGGGTTTGGTTTTCTCTAATAATGCCACTCTGCTTGGAATCTTCTACTTCATCCTCTTTTATTATCAACTGTCTTACCAGGTGCTGGTGGTAATGGTTTACCAAGATCTTGTCTGACGTCAGCCTAACTGCCTGCCTCATAATTACATTTACATTCAAATGAAGGGCTGACCAACCCCACCTTTCTGCTAGTTCTGGTGCTTTCTCTTTTAAAGAACTTTTATCTATCCTATTACCCTTCCCTGATATTCAGCAGCGGTTCCAGTACTGCAAGATGATGCAACTGTTGCTTGTATTTATAAGTTAGTAAATAGACCTTTTTTTAAGAAAAGACAGTGGTAACTATAATAGCAATGTTTGGTGTTCAAATGAATCTTGTCTGAAACCTTTATTTTGTGAGCTGCTATCAATCAACAAGTAAATCTGTTACTCTTAATTTCTTAGATACTAAAAATATAATCTCATTTTTACTTCTTAAATTAAGGGACACAGTCCATTTGAATAAGTGTAAGTCAGTAAGTTCAGAATACAGAAGGACCCTTGTAAACAGCATGTCTTGAATATAACTGTCTCAAAATTTTTCCCCTCATTATTGATGTTTGTAAGTGGTTTTCCAGCACGGGATAAATTAAGGCTGTAACTGTAATGAACATGTTCACACTCTCCCCATACAGAGTGATTTAGAGATCCCTTCATCTGGTGGCCATTGCAAACTGATAAATTTTAAAAAGCAAGACAGTAAATCTTCCTAACAAAGATGGTGCCAGAAGTACAATGAAGATGACTGTAAAAAGTGGTGAAAAAGGTCTTTGATTGGGCCCAGTAATATTGTTAGCTTCTGTTTCAAACTGAAGACAGCCTTTATCTTCCTGAAAGGCTGGGTTCCTTCCCCTGAAACTGCTCTATAGTAGTCTGTTTTCAGTGGGGCAGCTTAGGTAAGTGAAATCAGCAGGGAGAAACATCTGGGTTATCAAGTTAGTGGATCAGAACTGCCTTGCTGCTTTTCTGTAAAGCGCCTGACATGTGAGTTCTCTATAGGTCAATGTAAGTGTTCTCACTGCGAGAAATTATTCTGAAGGTGGTTTTATAATGTCGTTACTAAGAGCTTGACATTAACATGGGAGAACTAAACCATAGCGTATAACTTGAGACTTGCCCCTATATGATTGTCTACCCACAATATGTAGAGTGGGTTTGGTATATTTTTATCTTGGATGGATTTCTTTGCAATGAGCTATTTGTCAAGGGGTATGCTTGCAAAAGAGGTGCAAATTACAATGAGTTGTTTTCCTTTACAAAGGTGTGGTTTTTCATTCGGTATCCTCTGTCTTTTGACACTACTCGTATTCACACATCCCTTCTAATTCCAGCACTAAAGGATTCTAAGTGTGTACTTAAAGACAGGAAAGATACTCCTCTTTTGGGTTTCCTTTTTTTTTTTTTTTAATTTTTACTGAGAAGTGTAGCAAAATCTTCATAATTAATTTTGCTATATTTACAAATTTCTTTATTAATCCTCGGAGTCCTGAGAATGTTCAGGCAAGTTGCATCATGGGATAGGACATGGAAGAAGTAAGGCCCTTCTGTAACTGGTGTATCCTTATGAAAATAGACATTAAAAAAAAAAAAAGGAAGAGATGCTTGTTTCCTTCATCTTGAAGTAAAAGGAATTGTAATACAATTTTTGAGAGCCCACAGACTTTTTGGTACTGACGGGTACTAAAAAGAACAAAGAACTCCACGGAGCATCATCCAAATTAAACAAAGTATGTTTCCTATACTGGAAGTGTCCTTGGCCTATTTGGCCTATTTGTGAGTGTTATGCCAGCAGTTAAATTCCAATGTATTGTTAAATGTTATGCAGAGCTGTCAGTGATAGGCAGATCCATAGGAGGGTAAAGTTTTGTCTCCATTGACTGTATCTGAAATCCATTGACATGGTACAAGTGAACATTGGGTGCTCATACATTTCAGTGTGTTGTTTGACTTCTACTCCTAAGCACACCATTTTCACATCTCAGTGAATGGCATTTAATTTCATTTAATGCATTAGATGATGGTAACATTTTTAATTCCTGGTCTTCCTCCTTTTTTATGGGATGCCTCTGCATGTACCCCCCACAATTTCAGTATCACCTAATCCTATTTTTTGTATCTCGGAACTTTATCCTTTATTCTCTGTTCTTCTTTTATCTTTTGTTTATGCTCCTCCTTTCCCTTTCTTGTTTTGCCTGTTCCATTATCTGAATTTTCTTTAGATCTATTTCAATTCTTTCCAGAACATAATTAGATCAAGATACGCCAATGGCAAATTGCTACACTGATTTGATATCGGCTAACAATAGTAAGCTTTGAATAAGGCATTTTGTTTAAAAAGATTTACATAGCAGGATAAGATTGCTGGGTAGGACTGCAGATTTTTAACACTAACGTGAGAATAAGATAACTAAAATGGCAACATTCAAATGATCTTCTGCACTCTGACTCTTATGCCTCCCATTTTGTGTAACAGAACCATGTGGATATGTTAACAAGGAACCATACCTTTGTGTGAAGTCTAGTAGTTTGAGGGTACCAAAATTTTGGGGTTGATGTTTTTTGAGAGCTAATTGACTGTTAATCTGTGGCTGCCTTCCCAAGAGTCATTTCCTGGCCATGCACGTGTGTGTCCTGCTCAGATCCAGCGTGTCAGTAGCTTCAGAGCCACAGTACCACTGCATCTTCAGCGCATAGCAGTAACTTACACTGTAGTTCAGGAACACTTTTAGTGGGCATTGCTGTAAGGGGGAAAAAGGGGGCGGGGGGGCAGTGAACAGCCCTTGCCTTGGCTGGTTTTGCACTGTGAGGGGATGGCTGGAGGTAGAGGAAGGGCTAGTGTGCCGCCTGTGCCTGTGTAAAGTACTTGTGGAACTGTTGTGTTACCGTGGGCCTTCTCCTGACTTTTTGAGATGGTGGGAAAGCAAAGCACTTCTGAGGTAGTGGGCTAGGCATCCAGAAATCTCATGCGTATGGAGGTTTGTATTTATACTGGTTTCTGCAGTGGGTGATAGAGACAGAAGAGGAAGGATCTGTGTGGTGTTGGCAGCAAGAGTGCTGTGCTCTTTGGCATGCTTCACAGAGATGGATTGCCAGAGTAACTGAACTCCAAAGTTATAATTCCCCCCCCCCCCGTTAAAATGCTATGTCTAATTTATCTACTTAGCCAGTGTCCACAGGAGTTGCCTCAGTGTTTGTTGAAGTGAAGTTGTATGTGTGTAAAATGTACTTTGAGATCTTTGGGGAGGAAAATTTCCTAGTTTTCCAACAAGTGGTTGATGAAAATCTAGCAATAATAAAAAGCATAGTGATAACCATTGGAGCTATCTAAGTTTTGTTTGTTACAGGCAGTATAGATGGTATACTGTGATATATGTGCAGTTCTAAAGAGCTTTTCCAAACCAGGTAATAATAATATAATCACAAACGTGCAATTAAATGTTTTAATGACAGCTATTATAACTGCAATTTCATGGGCTACTGGTAGATTAATACTGGCCTATCAACAATAATTTATATTAAAAGTGTTTATGCCTGTGATAGTTTTTATTAGGAACCATTACTTATAAAGTTACTTTTCCTTTTATATGGAGATAAGAAGAAACAAATCCGTCCATCTTTGAAACTTGAAAACGATATGAAATCTGTATGGGGTTTTGTTTCTGAGGTGAAAAAAAAGCAGGTGAGCTTAGCGTGTCCCATTCTGGCTGAGGTGACAGCAACACGTTTGTTCTCTTGCCTCCAGATGACTGCTCTAATAACTTATCAGTAACATCAGGCGTAGGAATGCTCGTACCTTTATGACTGCACTCTTGGGATTTCAATGGAACGGCTAGCTATGGACTTTGTTAGTGAACTATGTATTGCTGATAGTTCTAATGCAGTATTTCAGAGGTGTTACTAACTGGCTTTGCATGCAGACCCATCTCTCCTAAAATTAATCGTCAGCTGTATAAATCTTGAGGAAAGGTCAGTCAGTACATGGAATGCTGTGAATTTAGGGCAGTTCTGTTGGAAAAAATTCTGACTAGTCATTAAGGAAGGCAGATGGTTTTAAAATTTTAAAACACACAGCTAAAGAGACTGCTTTTGCTTTCACTGAAGTTTCTACAAACACAAAGCTTCTGAAAGTTTTATTTACACTTTTTAATTGAGCTGGTTTAATATTCAACACCCTAGTTAGGACTCACTTTCAGGGCTTGAAATGCAAGCACATGCCAAATTGTATCTCCATATTGACAGATGCAGCACAGTCTAGAGAGCTGAATGAGCAATGATAGCTGCTCATATTTTCACTTGCTGAACTGAGCTCTCCTGGGGAAAAAGAAAAAGGGATATATCACAAGTTTCAGTTCTGTACGGTGTGTATATCTCATCCCTAATGTGTATTTCTTTTTCATAAGAGAACAACAGTAGAAATAAAAATGTCAGTTGTCTGTGTAGCCTTCCTTAATGGTTTCATTTTTAATTCCATGCTCTGAAATTTTGGCTGTTAACAAATCCTTTTGAAAAAGCTTGTTGGGAGCATGGTGATTGTATTTACCTTTCTGTCTATTCCACTACTGTTTTTCTAATGGCTGCTAACAATGGCTTATCTTTCATTTCTGAATGTTAACTTTTGCTTTTTATTAAAAGTAGTGACAATATATTTCATGTGTGATTTGTGTCAGTGTTGCACTTGCCAGGAAAGAATGGTCTGGAGCTAAAGGAGGGTCTTCCTATTCTGAAATACAAATCATGTAAAATCTGCTACAGAATCAATACTGACAGTAATAAGAGTATGCCTTACTGCTCAACAAGCAGGCTTAATATGGCAGGATTTACAGAGCCTGCATGTGAACTCTAGGTTAAATCGATTCTTTTTAGCAGAACCATGAAAATGAACAGCAAATACTGTATTGATATTTATTTGGTTTCCTTCCTGAGTCTCATAGTGTAAGGCTCCCACTTACAGTGACTAA